ACGATACTCAAAGTGATTGGTCAATTCTTACGGTACGTTACTGTTATATCAATTTGTGTGCGGCGTCCCTTAACCCTTTCCGGCATAGTGTACCGTATACTGGACATTTTTTTGTCCTTAGTTTTTTATATTTCTTACATAGTTTTCAACACATCTGTACAGTAAAAAGCACATTATTAGTTATGTAGAACATCAGTTGTCATTAAAAAATTTTGAAAACATTCTTATTGTTGAGGAAATCTATTTTATAAATAAACAAACTACAAAAATACTGCTTTTTTATACAATAAATGTAATTGTGACTAACCAACAATAATTAATAAGCTGAAAATAAGGTCTAAGGGGTTTTTGGGATCGCTGATTACGAATCCGGAGTCAGATTTTCAAAATTCAAAATGGCGGATTCAATATGACGGACGAATTTTTAAAAAATTATCAGATTTCTATGAGACTTGGTATTTAAGGATTTCCTGGGTCGCTAATTACGAATCCGGAATCAGATTTTCAAAATTTAAAATGGCTGATCCAATATGGCGGGCGAATTTTAGAAAATTATAGTATTTGTATGAAAATTATAGTATTTGTATGAAACTTAATATCTAGTGTTTTGGGTCGCTGATCAAATTTTCAAAATTAGCATCGTTAGCTCTGGGTAACGCTAAAACCAGATTTTAGCGAGAGAATATTTTCTACTTTTTGAAAAGACTCATTTTTTACATGTTTGGCACACTACATTGGATCAAAAAATTTACTATTGATTTTAGATTCGTAATCAGCTACCAAAAAACCTCCGCCAACTAATTTTGAAGACCTAAAACACATTCTTTTATTTCTTGGTCTTCTGTATTGGATCAAACATTTTGAATTTTGAAAATTTGATATTTGATTCGTAATTAACGACCCTAAAAACCGTCGAGTAATAATTTTCATGATATTTTATCCACTTTTTAATATTGTCCACCATTTTGGATCCGTCATTTTGAATTTCGACAATCTGAGATCAGATTCATAATCAGCGAACCAAAAAACACTAGATACTAGGTTTCATACAAATACTATAATTTTCTAAAATTCGTCCGTCATATTGGATCCGCCATTTTAAATTTTGAAAATCTGGCTTCGGATTTGTAATCAGCGATTACCAAAAACCCCTAAAGGTACATTTATCTGTGAAATTAATTTGATAGAGAAATGTATGTCGCAAAGGGTTAA